TAGAGAAAGAGAGGGAAGAGAGAGAGAGGGAGAGCGGAAAAGAGGGGGAGAGGGAAAGAGAAACATGAATCCATTGCATTCCCTACACTCCACTGGGAATCAAATTCACTACCCAGGTGTGTGCTTTGACAGAGAATTGAACTGGCAACCTTTCAGTGCATGGGACCCTGCTCCAGTCAACTGAGCCATACCATTCGGCTTCCCAAGAGACAATACATGTGAAATAGCTTGGTGGAAATAAAATGCAAAACAAATAGAAGGTGGAATTATACTGATTTCTAAATTCTAAAGATTTTCATATTTGTTTTTTGATTGTCATTTCTTAGTTACTTTGTAAAACTCAGGAATAAAAAGAAAAAGAAAAGAGGAAGTACATATGTTAAGCCTTTCTATTGTGGTCCTGGCTGGGAGTCTAGCCATAAGAGCCAACTCGTAGAAAAGAAAATGAACTGCTTGACCCAATCTTATTCTCATTTAATCCGATGCTCTCAAAAGGTATAAAAAAAGTTATGAAATATTTAAATATGTCTTCCCCAGTCATTTAGATGATTAGAAATGAAGTATCTTGGCAAGACAGGAAATGAGAAACCTAATTAGCAATTGTTTATTCTGTGGCTTGCTACATTCTAAACCCTAACCTGCCATCTACACTAGTCCCTCAATTAAAATATCTTTCACTTGGTTTGAATTGCTGTAGCATATAAGAAGACTTTTTCTTTTTTTAGGTTATTACTTGGCCTCATTTTAAAATGTATAACCTCCATGAAATATCAGAGCAGAGGAAATCATTGGTGATCCTACCCTGTTTCCCCCAAAATAAGACAGTGTCTTATATTAATTTTTGCTCCCAAATTTGCGCTAGGTCTTATTTTCAGGCGATGTCTTATTTTTCCATGAAGAAGAATACGGTACACATTTATTGTTAATTGAAAATAAAGGAAATTTATTACCTGTTTATGGTACGGTAGTACGGTAGTTGTCAACACAAACCAGACAAACTGTGAATCCTACAGTATCAAGAATTTACTCATTTATTCAATGACAATCATGTCATCATCTTCTGGAACATCATCATAACAATCCAATTCCTGAATTTCCTGGTGAATTTCTTGTGACTCCATTTTTTTCAGAATCAGTGGACCAAATCTCTCATGTTTAACCTGGCGGGGCCTTGTTTTCAGGGGGATGCCTTATATTTCACTCAGAAGGAAACTTGTAAGTAGGTCTTATTTTCGGAGGATGTCGTATTTTTGGGGAAACACGATAGCACAATCCTCTCATTGACAGCTGAGAAACCAGCCCAAAAAGAATATGTTAGATAACAGTATCACAGTGCAAGTATGATAAGTCTTAAGTCTCCTGACTTCTGGGCTATGCCAAATTAGATAATTTCTTTTAGTCATTTAAACTTAATACTCCTTAAGCTGTTTAAGGGAAAGGGGGTATCTTAATAAGAAAAAGGCTTTAACTTCAAGGGCAGGTAGAATAAAAGCAGTTTTCAACCAGATATAAGGTTATGGATTCCCTGTAGCCAGTACTGTTTATATATGACCTTACTTATATAAGTAATTCATTTTAGTGCATGGGAAGAGAAAAAAGTTCCTTTAAAAGCCACCGTTAAACTTCCATGCTGACTCCTAGAGGAGGGGAGATAGCGCCTTGGTTAGGGAAACAACCTGATAGGCCCCTTTGGATGTGATAGGATGACCACAGCACTGTTTGGAATAGGAATAAAACGAAGAACAAAGTTATTTCCTCTAACACATTTACAACATTCCAAGGCCTTTGGAAAGAAAGGGATAATTGAAGAGAAGGAAAAAAAGAGTGGAAATTTTAGCAAGATTTAAAGCCAGGGTTGTCCTTGAGGTGAACTCTGTGAGAATGGCAAGAGACTTTTTTTTAAGAACAAGAATGTATATGATCCACCCTTATATGCCTGGACTATGCAATGCTGAGACAATACCCCCTTTCATTGCCTGTCCCCTTCCCATCACTATAAGAACTTCAGTGAGGATGTGTTACACAGGTTTGCATCGAGGACACTCGGGGAGTCAGTACAGGTAGTACAGAGGAGAGGTGGAGAAGCCAGGGAAGCAAGAAGGCAGAGCAGGAGGATATAAACCACCAAGCCCTTCCCCACACTCCCCAAAACAAATGATACTGAAGAAGTATCCCATGGTGTTAGCATAAAACTGTTCTATTTAAATCTTTAAAGATAGTGGGACATGTGGGTAGCTGACACTTGAGTTATACTAATACAGCCAATCTCGCTCAGAGAGGAGTTACCGGCCATTCTTATAGGCTGTGGGTGGTAACAATTCCATATCCCGGAGGTCAGCAACACTGTGACCACATGTATCAACGAACTTGGGTGTAAGTCTGCCCTTCCGAGAGCTGCTAATTGGGAGGGCTCCCATTTTGGGTCATCCTGTCACTGACTGGCTTTCCTGGCCAGATTATTGTGCCACTCAACATCCATAACCCTGTTGGATAAAGTAACATCAAACTCCATTGAGTTACTAGGTATGTTATTGAAATGTGGGGTCATGTACAAAATTTTATATATTAAGCTATATTTCTCTATTAATTTTGAGTATAAATTCAAACTCAGGATTTAAAAAAGAAACACCTAAAAATCCTAGCAATAATATAAAAAGCTTGCTTTTGTCACTCTTATTATTTTTTTTTTTAATATGGAACACTTCACGAATTGGTATATCATCCTTGTGCAGGGGCCATGCTAATCTTCTCTGTATTGTTCCAATTTTAGTCTGTGTGCTGCTGAAGTGAGCACTGTCACTTTATTTCTTTAATTCTACCAGGTATCTTCTACATGAACTTTTTAAAATGTCTATTTGATTCTTTTTTTTCCAAAATGGAAATATCCTTTCCATTATAACTTAAGACCACTGTAATTCTCAACTCTAATTATATATATATCTTTGTATACATATATCTGTCTCACAGGTGATAAAGATTAAATGAGTCAACATATGTAAAGAAGTTAGTGTCTCAACACATATATTAGCTACTTGTTTCTTCATACACACAGAGAAAAACAAAATCCTTCTACAATAAGACATTATGGATATCTTTTCCTATCAATACATTCTTTTTAATGGCTAAATGGTTCACAGAAAATTATTTAATTCCTGATTAATGCCTATTTGGTATATCTATGTACCTATTCTATTTCAAACACTGCTGTAACGAATATACTTATTCTTCATCTTGCCTCCTGTTCGCACCCCAACTGGGGATCGAACCTGCAACCTTTTGGTGCACGGGTTGATGTTCCAAACAACTGGGCTACCTAGCCAGAACTTGTCTTCATTTTTGACATTTTCCCCATTACATAAACGAGAGAGAGAGAGAGAGAGAGAGAGAGAGAGAGAGAGAGAGAGAGAGAGAGAGAGAACGAACTAGGCCTTGAGATATGCTGGTGCATGGGGGGGGGGGGGAATGAAGTCTAAAGATTGAGAATGAATAGCCAATGAGGTAATGAGTCAGTGTAAAGACTAGGGTATCAAATGAAAGTGTTTCAAGGAGACAGAATGAGTTGATGGCATCAAATAATAAAGAACAGCCAAAAAAAACTGAGGAATAAAGGGCTGTTAGGTTGGCCAGTTAGGACTGGAGAAAGCTGTTTACATGTAGGATTAGGGCAAAACCTAAACTGCAAGAGGGAGGTGAAAGAAGTATGTAACTAGTCTGATTATTTAAGAAGTTGGTAGATAATGGGAAAGAAAAAGAATAGTAGCAAGTCAGATTCAAGAAAAATTAGTGAAAACATTTATTTAATAAAAAGGATGACAGTTAACCTACAACTGTTTTCAAAATTTTATATCTGATTACTATTTTATTTACATGAACTTGATTCTACAACTATAAAAGTTAAAAAAACAATATTTAAAAGTTGAACAGCCCATGTGTACAAGGTACATACATAACAGTAGTGCATTTTTTTTCTCCAAAGGGAAACTTCATAGAAACTTTATTATGAAAGTCATTCTTTTTTTTCGTCATTGATTTAGAGAGAGGAAGGGAGAGAACGGGAGGGCAGAAGGAAAAGAGGAAGGGAAGGAGGGGAAAAGGGAAGAAAGGAAAGATGGAGAGAGAGAGAGAGAGAGAGAGAGAGAATCATTAATGTGAAAAAACATCAAACCCACTACCTTCCTGGGGATGGGATGATGCTCCAACCAACTGAGCCACACCAGCCAGGGCTAAAAGTCACTCTTAAGTCAGCTATTGCCAAAAAAAGTTTGAACCACACACAAATGCATCTATAATTTAAAATATAACTAATAAAAGAACAAAACCTGAAACTTTTTTTAATGGGAGAATATTCATTTTAATTATGTTCCAAGATGTTACAGAGCTGTAAATGAACAAATTTTAGTCAGTATAAAATAGTCTGTTAACATTTCAGTCATTCATACAACTATGTACTAATAAATGAAACACCACTTCCTACAAGGCTCAGATAACTCTAAAATCTATCTTACCTTCACACATATACTATAAAAAATGATAAATACTTAAAACTTACAATGCAAAGGGAAATATTACAAAATATACAATTGTTATAGATCCTTGTATGAAAGGTCCTTGCTTTTAAAGTTCTGCCTTATGGAATAATACCATGTTACATAGCAGAACTGAAATGATAAACTATGTTCCTTGAGGTTACAATGCTCAACAATATACTGGGTGTACTTTATAATACCGGGTCTGACAACAATCAAAAGAGAAACAAAGACGGCATTCAATGGTGTTGAGAGAGGAATATCAATTGCTATATGCTGATTTCTGCTGAAATGTCCTCATTAAACTATTGACAGCACTGTAGCAGAAGAGGGAAGGGAGCAGTCTCACCTTTCTAAAAAGGATTCCCAAATCAGCACAAACTCAGGCAATTCTAAAAGGTACTATTCTCAATGCTCTTCACTTTTCTACCCTTTACATGGAACTCCTGGTCCTTTGTTCATTTTTATTTTTTCTCCCAATTTCTTCATAAGGGATTACCAAAATACTTTTCGTTTTCTATCATCCAACATACAAACCAAAAGGCAATAAGCAAAACAATACACTCTTCCAGTCAGGTCAGTTCTAAATACACAAATTTTGGGTTACTAGATATTAATTGTGAGATTTAGGCATATCCATCCCTCTTCCGCACACATTCCCAACTTCCCCTTACTTATTGACATCATTCTCAATTGAAGTTTTAAGATTGTTTTGTCCCTCATCAGATGATTTGCTGTTGGCAAGCTGCTTTAGCTAGCAGCAATACCAGGAATTGTTCGGAATGCTGGCTCAGAATAGTTTTTTAAAAATGTGATCAGTGAATTACTGTAACCTGCCATCGTGGGCTTCTGCAGGCAGACAGAAAGAATTTACCTCCCTCACTTATTTCACAAGGGAGAAGAACGTATCTTAAAAAGGAAAGGAAAAGGATTAGATAAGAAAATATAATAAAAGGGCAATACTGTAGTAGTAGTGGGGAAAGGAACGCTTGCAGCCAACCTACCTTTTGGGAAAGTTTCTTTCATAAAAATCAATCTTTCTCTCCCAGTGTTTTTTGTTTTTGTTTTTGCGCAAGATTAATAGTCGCTTTACACCAAGAAGGGCAGAAAGCCACTTAAATATTTTTCTTCAAAGGTAGGTATTTTCTTTTTGAAACGAGCATTAGAGAAAGGAGGAAAATGTAGGGACAGCTCATTCAAAGAGGTCCTCAAACATGCGTTGTCCCATTGCTATGTACGCTTCCTTCTCCTCTGGTGTCATCTGTGCCACCAGCTCTGGCCGCTGGCTCACTTCGCTGTATGAGAATGGACGACCAGCCACCATAGCAATGGGGTCATCTGTTACTTCTTCAAACTCGTCATCCTCCTCGTCATCCTCTCGGTGATGTGCAGCCACAGAAGCTGGACGAGGTGGGGAGTCATCATCTGACTCACTGGTCTCACTCTCCGAGTCGCTGCCATTGGCAGTGGTCACAGGAGCAGCTGCCCCCACTGAGCCAGCGGTAGCAGAGGGGGTCTTCTTCTCATGAATGAGCAGTGCTCGCATAACCTCCTCGTTATCATCCAGCCCTGCACGGCCTTCCTCACGATCTTGAAATGCATCTATATCTATGCCACCTGTGGAGGAAAAAACCAGAAAGTCAATATCGTTAAATATAAAAGATATTCCCATATAATAAAATATATATTTTAAAACACTGTATTTAAATATACAAGCCTATCTAATAAAAGAATAATATGCAAATGGATCATACTTCTGCTATACCCATGAGCCACACCCACCAGCCAATCAGGAGCAAGTATGCAAATTAACCCAACAAGATGGCTGCAGCCATGGAGAGAGCAGGAGGCTTGGGTTGACTCCAGCAATGGAGGAAGCCAAGCTTTCTGCCTGCCCTGGCAGGCCTCCTCTCAAGGCTACAAAGTTTCAATTATAGAAGATAAATAAATCCCAGATACCAGGGCCTCTAGTTGGGTCACTAGGGGGGTGTGGCCAGTCTGCAAACCACCCCAGGTCCTTCACCCAGGCCGCCCCATTCCCCAAGGGATCCCCTACCCTGATGTGGGACAACCTTCAGGGCAAACCAGATGGCCCCCATCTGTGCACCAGGCCTCTATCCTATCTAATCCTATCTAATAAAAGGATAATATACAAATTGACAATCACTCCAACACACAAAACGGCTGCCCCCATGTGGACACAAGATGGCTGCCACAAGTTGGCCAGCAGGAGAGGGCAGTTGGGAGGGACCAGGTCTGCAATGGAAGGCAGTTGAGGGTGATCAACACTGAAGGGGAGGGCAGTTAGGGATGACCAGGCTGGCAGAGGAGGGAAGTTGGGGGCAAACAGGCTGGCAGGAAAGCAGTTAGACATCAATCAGGCTGGCATGGGAGTGGTTAGGAGGTGATTAGGCTGACAGGCAGAAATGTTTAGGGGCAATCAGGAAGGCAGGCAGGAAGGCGAGCAGTTGGGAGCCAGCAGTCCTGGATTGTGAGAGGGATGTTCAACTGCCTGTTTAGACCCAATCCCACTGGGTCTAAACTGAGGAGTCCCAGATTGGAGAGGGTGCAGGCTGGGCTGAGGGACACCCACCCTCACAACCCCGTGCACAAATTTCATAGACTGGGCCTCTAGTAATATTATAAAATAACACCAATAAAACTTCACTGATTTTACTTTTTGAGCTCTGTCCATAATATTGTATATTCAAACTGTTTCTCACAAACTGGAACTTAAGTAGGCTAATGGTTAAGTACATGGGTTTTAAGAGTAATATAGTTTGGAACTGAATCCTGGTTCACATATAAACTGTACTGCCTTGGTAAGGATATTTAGTCTTTAAACTTCAGTACCTACTAGTACTTCTATAAAATGGGGTGATAAAAGCATCTACCTTCTAGGACTCTGGATAAGAGCATCTATATATATAAAAGCCTAAATGACTGAATGACTGAACAACTGGTCGACCAGTTGCTATGACATGCACTGACCACCAGGGGACAGATGCTCAACGAAAAGGATGGGGCTCCTTCCTGTTTGTATCGGGCCTGTGGAGATTGGGCCAAAACCAGCTACCTGACATCTCCTGAGGGGTCCCAGATTGTGAGAGGGTGCAGGCCAGGCCAAGGGACTCTACCGGTGCACAGATCCATGCACCGGGTCTCTAGAGTAAAATAATGTCTATGAAAGACCAGGTATAACAGCTGTCATAATAGGAAATCAAGACATGGCTCCTCACTTTGCTCAGAGGAAAAGCCAGATTCTTTACAATGGCTTATAAGGTCCTCCATTACCTTGGACACCTCTTGCCCACCTACTACGTCTTTTCCTTCCCCTTGCTCATTTTGCTCCAGCCGTAGTGGCTTCCATGGTATTCCTGTGCACACCACACACAGTTCCACCTTAGAGCCTTTGTGTTGCCTGTGGCCTCTACCTGGGACACTTACACTTCATTCCCTTACGTCTTTCAAATCTTTAGTCAAATGTCATCTTCTTTGAGTTCACCTCTATATTCCCAATGCTCTGTTTTTTTCACAGAGCAATGATTTTCAAACATAATAAATAACTCCTGTCTATTGTCTTTGGCACACTTTTTCCCTGCATGTAGGTCCTTCACAACAGATATTTATTTTTTATTCAGTGATATATCCCATGCACCTAGAATAGTGCCAATAACTTGTTAGGCACTGAATAAATATTTGGTGAATCAATGAATATATGGCAGTTTTAGCTTTCTGAAGCAAACTAAGCACACTTTGAACTCTTTATAAAAAGTAATTTAGTATCATGAATAAAAATTCTCTAACTACCTACCTCCTATTTATCATTTTGTGTACACATTTTGTCTGATATATTGAAGATGAAAAATTTAAGACAAATTTGTATTCAGTATTTGGAAAATAATGCCAAACATATTGTCATTTAAAATATATAACAGGATTAAAAGTGTTATTTGGAACTGACTTTTTGATTCAAATCCTGACTCCTTTTAGCTGTGTGATTTGGGGCAAGTTACCTCATTTCTCTCTGCTTCAATTTTCTTTTTTTAATCCTTACCTGAGGATATATTTTTTCATTGATGAGAGAGAGAGAGAGAGAGAGAGAGAGAGAGAGAGAGAGAAACATGGATCAACCAGGAATCAAATCTGCAACCTGAGGATGTGCCTCAACTGGGAATCAAACCTGTGACCTTTGGTGCATGGGATGATGCTCCAACCAAACTACCCACCCAGGGTTCTGCTTTAATTTTTTTCAAAAACAAAACAGGAAAAGAATAACAGTATCTACCTCACTGGATTACTGTCAGAGTTAGGTGAATATATGTGAAGTGCTTGGAATAGGGCTTGGTCCTTAGAATAGTGGTATTTATAATCAACAGCAGCATAAAAAAAAAAAAGGCTCAGAAATGGTCAATTCTGGCTATGGTGAAATGAAAGCATCCTCTCATTAACATATTAGGATGGATTAGCTCTTGACATTTTAAAAATGTATAGAACTCCTAAGATGAGATATTGGGCAGAAAAGAGAATGGGAAACAATTAAGAAGTTAAAATTTTAGAACAGACAAAATAAGCTTTTGACAACATGGATATAAAAAAATGAGAACTGAAATCCAAAGGATGAAAGGATGAACCTCCTCATAGAGCCCTTATTGTCAATGCAGTAGTTCAACAGGAAAAAAAAGAAGAAAAAAAAAAAGGAAAAAAAAAAAAGACAAGAAATGCACATGAGTCTCTAAGGCAATCATTACCTCTTTAAACATTTTCCAAATAGCTTCATATTTCCAAAATGGTGTTTTGATTAATGCTTAAAATAAATATAAAATGAGAGGAAAAGCTATTTAGCTTTGTAAACTAAATGAAATTATATTTAAAAGATTTCTGACAAGGGTCTTGAGAGGTATGGGACAAAAGGAATTGTTCTGCATTATAGATGAAGACAAGAAAATAGAATATGAGGATAAATGAGCAAATCTCTGGATGGTAAAGTTTAAACACTAGTTCTAGAAACAGTCTTATTAAAAGAGTTATAAATTAAAAAGAAGATTTATACTCAGAAATTGTCAAGTACACTAATGATGCTAATACTTGAGCAATATTTAGAAACATTTCTAAATTTCTAAAGCAATTCCGGCTACTTAAGGGCCAAGCTGATAGTGGAAAATATACAGGAAGAGCTGAAGGTTATATAAATGGGCAGAAAACTGGCAGATCCAGTTCTACACTGGCAAACGTAAAAAAATCTCTAGAAAAGTAATCTAAAATGTGCTGAAAGGTGTGGTCTAAGCTATCAGATACAGGGCAGAAAAGGTTTTTTAAAAATATATATGTATATACATTTTAAAAATTAATTTCAGAGAGAAAGGGAGAGGCTAGAAATATCAACAATGAGAGAGAATCGTTGATCAGCTGCCTCCTACATGCCACACACTGGGGTCTCAAGCAGAGTACATTATGACTGGAGGTTGTCCAAAATGAGGCAATTAAAATAAAATAAAAACTGTAGGTGGAGAGGCTGGGGGAATCGGAACTAATTGTAAGTGTTAGAGACCGGTGTAAGCTGACACGGTCCTTGCACCCAAAGGGGCAAGCAAGGCTAGCCCGCTACCCACAGTTTTCCCAGGCTTGCTTGGATGGCGGTTATCGTAGAATGAGAGCCACCTTTCATGGCTTGCCAAGAAGCCTGTAACGATTTACTGAGTTTTGCTGTACTGAGAATTTGTCCTTCTGCTCTATCTCTCCCTTAGAGATTAAGAGGAACAAAGAACACATTCCTCTCGACAGACCTCCTATTCAATGTTTTGTGTATAAAAGGCATTACGCAGTTAATAAACTTGCTGCAGTTGGCCAACAGCTACCTGCAGTCCTCCCGATCCTGTTTTCCTGTCTTTCTTTCTTTTCTCAATTCCCACCTCCCTACCTCAGCCCGGTTCTCGGAGGGAAAGGGGTGCGGGGGGTGTGGGAAGAGACTGGACAAAAATCATACACCTATAGATGAGGACAGTAGCGGGGGGGGGGGGGGGGGGGGGGGGGGGGGGGGGGGGCTGGCCCTAAGGGCAGAGGGTGAGGTGGGAACCAGGTGGAGGGGAGATTTTTTGGGGGGGAGAGAAACAATTGTAATAATCTGAACAATAAAGATTTATTTTTAAAAAGTCTATGAAAGATGTTAAAATGAAATCTGAGGCAAATTAAGGGTAAGACAAATAAGTCTCAATTCAAATATGCACTGGATAGAGTCTATATTACTGTCATAATACTTAACAAAAACAAATTTAGATATGACAAATCTAGTATATTAGATGACTTATTTAAGGTCCATATGACTCAAATTTGATCATTCTAGGAATTATAAATATTGAATGTTAAGTTTATGAGTCTAATTGTAGATAATACTAGTTAACAACAGTTTTATTCAGTTGTGTTTCTAAGTTCAAAGAAAAGGTTTGGTTGCTTCAAGAATAGGCAAGGAGCCAAGTTGGGGAAAACAAGCCTATTAAATAGCTGACAGCCTAATTACTATATAATCTACAACAAATTGAATCAAAATAAACATCGTAGCCAAGCTGATCAGTGGGAAGGAGGGAGAGTGAAGTATGGTTGCCAAAAATTAACTTTTT